GCTCCATGTTATTTTATTTCTTGATACAACATCGTCAATAACAGCTTCCAGGCTAACGTTTGCAGATTCAGCTTTTTCTACAAAGCAAAAAAAAAGTAAACTACAAACAGAATTTGTGCATTCCTAAATAACTTACCTATCCTTCTTGTATCAGCCTCCTTTTGGATACAACTAGGACCTGCAGTTATTTTATTTCTTGATACAACATCGTCAATAACAGCTTCCAGGTTAACGTTTGCAGATTCAGCTTTTTCTACAAAGCAAAAAAAAAGTAAACTACAAACCAAATTTGTGCATTTTTAAATAACTTACCTATCCTTCTTGTATCAGCCTCCTTTTGGTTAGAACTAGAACCTGCAGTAGATTCTTTGCAATTTTGTGTTTGTTTGCAAATTTTAGCTTTTTTTCTACGAGACTCATATTCACTACTGTATGAGTCTGAAGAACCATCAGTAACATTTTCATTGTACACTGGATCGGCATCAGAATCATAAAACGTACTTTCAGACATACTAATATCACTAAAGTCACTCTCCTCAGCAATTCTGCGAAGTTCGTCTTCCGATAGTCCTTTACGGAACATTATCTTATTTTTTAGTTCCACTTTTTAACAAAAAACTGAAGAGAAAATAGTCTTAGCCTCGTTAGACGTTCGAACCGATACTGACTGAAGCATGTTAGAAATTATAACCTAACCTGTTTGTGAACACGTGGTTTAACGGACCAATCTCTGATTTTGTTTACCACAGACCGTTTACACACATTTATACATAAGAAAGCACGGCAAATGCGATCCTCGACGAGCCACGGCATTAGGAACACGACACTTCGCTGTGGCCTGATAGGTACACACGGTCCCAGATAAAACTAGAGTGTGTGCCAGTGTGGTACACATGGGGCTTAACGTGTTAAGAAAGATACATGGTGTTAAAGTGAAAATTTAAAATTTTATTTTTTGTATTAATATTTATTTACAATTGGATGGTTTTGGGTAGGATAAATTATAATTTTATACATACTTTAATGTAACTGATAGAGGGCGCCACATATGCCAAATGTGTGGCATAAATTTGCGCTTAATTTTTTTGCTCTTTAAGTTAGCTCTATTTGTGTTAAAAAATATTAAAGGTACATTATTTTTATAAAGAAAAGGTATACTTGTTAATAACTTCAAAATTCAACCGTTTTCGAGATAATCGCATTTTATAAGTCAGCTGCATAATAATTCTTAGTTGTGAGATTTGTGCGGCAAAGCACTGAATATACTCCATTCGCTTAGCTCGTGCATATTTTGACAGATTCAGTGTCGGAAACCTACAACACAACAATTCCTACTTCTCAGTATTAATTGCTCAAGTATACTACTATTGCGGACTTCCTTCTTTGAAAAAAGAAGAATTATTCTAAATAGTGGAAGTGCATACTAAACCCATCAAATTTTGGGTAGTATATATTTAAAAAATATATTTTAGTTGTTTTAATTTAACATAACTATTTATTATAATATGGTGCAGATAAATAAATATTGATTGTCGGTAATTCGTAAAGTTCTATTTTATTTACTATTTAGTTTGTTTACTATTAATATTGGCTATGAGTACGTGTGCTTGGTTGTATAGTAATTTTCAGCCACTTTTAGTCTGTCAAAAAGTAACCACCTTCGCAAAAAATTAATTACTAAATTCACTAGAGAGTTCGGACTGGGAATAGCGAACCGATTATACCTGTGGATAAGCATAATTAATAGTTCATTCTTATTAAAACAACTCAAAGATGATAATGTAACTTCACAAAACGTTCTGTTATGGCTACTAAATGTCTTATTGGATAAAAGCTTTCATCTTCTTCTTTAGGTGCCTTGTCCGTATTCAGACGTTAGCCGTCATCATGTTTACAATTTCACTTTTCTATCGCTAAGTTTTTATACTGGTGTTGTATTACTTTTTCTCTATTGTAAAATTCTGAGAACTTAAAATATGTGGTTTATGCAAGATGGTACACCACCACATTCTAGAGAGATGGCAGTGAGAACATACTTAAATACAACTTTTCTGAACGTTGGATTGGTCGTGGTAATCATATTCCTTGGCAATGTGGTGAGATATTATTGTAATTATTTAATTTATAAAAACTCCTAAAATAATACTCTTAAAAGAATATTATTCATTACGTAAATTGTTTACCCATTTTTATTAGGGCAATTAGAAACTAGAGCACAGGTATTGAATAACACATATGTGTTTTGTTTCATAATACTTTTGCTACAAATTTAACCTTAAAGTCTCAGCATTTTACAATAACATCATCGTTGATAAAATAACGGATATTTTTGTAAATATAGTCAACACACAGGAAATTTAGTTCAGCATAATATTAGTTCGTTAGTAAATCATAATAGTCCATTTGTTCGAGATGTAATTCTAGTTACTCGTAAGATGTAACGTAATCATACAAAATAATGTCATCGAAACGTTATTCCGTGTGTTATATAAGTATCCAATAAACAAGATACATTACAGTTTAATACATTAATCAACCTCTACGACAAATAAGATGTAGTTCTATAATATACCACAAGATTTGGATATGTATCCAAAAGAATATATTCATCCATTATACATGATAGCCACCAGGTAGCCCAGAATTTAATCCTCTTGATTTTGGTATATAAAGCGCAATAAAACAACGTGTCTATAAGAATTCCATAAAAATTCGCAATCAACTATGGGAAGAAATAAATACTGCAGCAGTTTCTTTAGAACCATTCACTTAACTTGACAAAAAGTTATGTTATTTAGTTGAACTATTTCTTAATTTGGTTTGTAAATAAAATGTTTTGATTATGAGTTTAATTTAATACAAAACGTAAAATGTTTTATGTAAAATCCTATTATTCTGTTATTTTGTCAAATCCTATTATTAATTATCCTGCTGATATATTTATTTTATTTAATATTTCGTTAACTATTAACTTTAATTAAACGTATTTTATACCAAAATTCAGAAGTGTTGATGTTTTTGTCTATTTTTTCATCATTGCCTTAAGTAATTGCGTTAAATCAGAATTATGCAGCTGATTTGTAAAATGCGATTATCTAGAAAACTGTTTAGTTTTGAAGTTATTAACCAGTATACCTTTTTTTTTGTTAAAATATTGTATCTTTAATATTTCTTATTACAAAGTTAAGTGCAAATTTATCCAACATATGTGGTATATGTTGCATAAATTCTATCTATACCCCTCTATGATCTACATTAAAGTGTGCATTAAATTATAATTTCGCTTATTTAAAAGTACCCAGTTGTAAATTTTTATACATACATGTTTACAAACATAAAGTCATAGCGAAAATTAAAATTTTAAATTTGCACTTTAACACCCTGTATCTTTCTTAATATCAACATTTTATTAAAGCAATTTGGCTTAAACCGTAATATTTTAAAGTGTAGAATCTGTACAATTACTTAAGGACCACCCTATATATATATATATATATATATATATATATATATATATATATATATATATATATATATATATATATATATATATATTAAACCCAGAGCTAAGATTAATACTTTTACAAAAATTAATATTAAACTCACCAGTCTTTCGGGTTGAACCGCGTTGATTATCATTGGGCCGAGCTTTCGACATCCTATCTGATGTTTCTTCAGAGCTTCCGAAGTCTCAGTCTCCCGAGCCCCAGATACTACTACACTGATCACCAATCAATTCACTACTGGAAGAACCTGCTTATTACACAGATCCTGGAACACATTAAGAAGACGTAATCCCACTAAACTTGTTACTATTTCTCTTGTTACTATAAACTTTGAAGGCAGTGTTATTATTATACACAATCCATTTATTATATAACAAACAAATTAAACTGCAGGATATATGCAGATTGATCTATACTAAATTATACACTGAGTTTTATGTAGGTAAAACACGAAATAAAATTAAAAAAAATAATATACAGTTTCAAAATACAGTAGTGAATTGATTGTTGACCAGTTCGGAGATCTCGGGAGACTGAGATCTCGAAAGCCCTGAAGAAGACATCAGAGAGGATGTCGAAAGCTCGGCGCAATGCAATTAACGCGGTTCAACCCGGAAGACTGGTGAGTTTAATATTAATTTTTTTAATAGTCTTAATCTTAGCTCTAGGTTTAATTGTTCTACGGAATATTACACACTTACACACACACACACACACACACACACACACACACACATACACATACATATATATATATATATATATATATATATATATATATATATATATATATATATATACGGCGGTGGGACTCAATGTGGAGACTGATTAATGTGGTATATATCCGGCGACGTGACCGAAAGGGTTAACTTCTTAATTTTATTTCCTTCTCGTCCTATTGTGTCCTCTCTTTCTTCTAGAAGTTCTCTATTCAATTCTGCTGACAATCGCTTTACTATTTCTGGATTTTTTAGGTTGTCTATGTTTAATTTTTCGCTTTTTGTGTGCTTGTTATTCTCCTGTCTGTTTATATGGCATTTAAATTTTATTTGTAATAGAAAGTCATCCGAACCGCATACTGCTTCCCTTTTGGTCCCCTCCTAACATGCATTAGGCACGTTTGTTTTCTTATACGACTTACATTATGATAAACGTATTTTCTTTGATGATTATAATGAAGAGTTTTTAGTGACGAATTTTCTTAAGAATTTTTAAATTATTTAATGGACTAAATACATGTTTCTTGTATAATTTATTGTATCTGACCCTCCATTTGTAGAAAACCCATGTATAAATGAATAGGTTGTAAAAACAATTAACTAATTTATAATTTATAAGGCTTTTACCATATATTAAAGTCTTCTAAGGTCCGATTGCACGTTTATATAAATTATCGATTTCCTCAATGTTTACATTCACGAAACAATCGATAAATTTCTAACCATGATAATGCTCTAACTTCAATGGTATTATTTGGCATTGAAAACATTAACAATGTCGTTGTTTAAAACTCGCTCGTTTTGGGCAACACAGAGTGAAGATGATGAATATTTTGATCAGAATTCAATGATTCTAACACAATTAAACGGCGACAGTGATTATATTATAACTGGAAGTCAAAGTGGAGTTTTAAGGATTTTAAAACCATCCTGTACAGTAACTGAAAATGAGTTGAGTGGGTTTGCACCAAATGATTTAGTGATAGAGAAGATTTTTGATCAGCCAATTTTGCAACTTGGTTATGGCAGACTCGTTTCGTAAGTATACATGTAGCATGATAAGTATCTATGTGTTAATTTATCTACTAATTGCTTTTACATTTTTTTATTCTACTTAATAATAATTTTGTTTGGATTTTATCTAGTTGAAACGTTCGACGTCTTTCGTCACTAATTTTTTCTGCTCTTCCATGGATAATTATTTAGCCCTCCTTCTCCTATGCTTCTCTCAAAATATTTTCTAAATTTTCTTCTGAATTCTCATTTCTTTATGTCTCCTGATTTCTAGTAGTTGATATTCTACTCCCACCCATTTTGTATAGATATTTATACCACCTCAACTGGTTAATTCATACATATATTAGCAGTAGGCTATAAATCAGGTCAGGTACTGAATATAATAAACCACTAGCTTTAATATTTGGGAGAAGAAATATTGGAAGAATTAACTATCGGTGTATAAATATAATTAAATACATATACCAAAACGCAACAGCTAGTGAGAGTGGGTCATAGTCAAACAAAGAAATTCCCGATACATATAAATATCATCATCAATTTTACATATAAATATATATGTAAAAGGGTAAACTGATCGACAAGGGTATTGTAAAGTCTTTATTAATTCTAATTTATTGTTCTTATTTCACTTTACTAAAGGTTCAATATTTATAACACTCACAAATTTATCAAAGTCTTTATTACTACTAATTTATTTTACACTTAATAATTTATCTACGTGCGAAACAATTTTAACGCGAGCCCGGAGTTCTTTTTGACTAACTCTTCAATAAAAATCACCGTTATTATATATAAAATGCCGTTATCTAGAAGGGTCTGGCGATGCATCGATGACCTTCCATCCATTCGGTGACTCATGGACTGGTCTCGAACTCGAAGGGTCTAGTAATTTCTGCCGGCAGGTAAACAGGTGTGAGCGCCGAAATTACTAGAAATAGAAAAGAATTAGTCATAATATATTTACAGTTTTATACGCCATAATATTTATTATCGTAACAGTATAAACATATATGGAGAAAATCTTAGCCACCTTAGATTTCCATATGATATTGTGCTAATAGCTGATAGGATAGATGAGGCCAAAAAACTTTTAAATCAGCTCTACCCTCCTCGCTAGAAGGGGGATTGAAAATAAATATATCTAAAACCCATTTGATGACATGATATGACATAAACAGCGAAGATATATGCGTAGGAACAAGATCTATTGACCAGGTAATCTCTTGGTCACGAGATTCGCATATAAAAAAATTAACAAAACCGTTGAGGTTTAGATTATATAAGACTGACTTGTACAGCCTTCGGCAAGTTGAACCACATTTTTAAATCGCCTGACATATAAATATGTCCTAGATATGCCTAAGAAAAACGTTTAGTCAGTGTGTGTTTGTCAGTATTGACTTGAGCGAAAACGTTGACTATGACAAGGAGAACAGTGCGTTCTATGTTGGGCGTTTCACTGTGAGACAAGATCCAAACCGTCAGCTACGAGGATGATCAGGAGTGACAAAGACTAGCAACACTGAAGTGGTACTGGGTAGGTCACGTGGCTCGAATGACAGAAACAGATGGATAAAGCGGATACTGGAATGGAGACCAAGAGACGATGCCTATCAAAGCAGAGGACGTCCACCAACACATTGAACTGAGGATCTAAAACGTTGGCATAGGAATTAGATGCAAGAGGCACAAGATCGAAACAGACGGAAAATTATGAAGGAGATCTATGTCCAGCAGTGGACAAGCGAAGATTGAATGATGATGATGATAATAATACATCTTCATCACGATAGCTTTACAACTCTGTGTGGGTTTTAACCTCCTCAAGAATTTCTCTCCAGTCGTCCCTATTCATCCACAAAGTAAGTATTACCATATTTCTAATGTCTTCATCGATGTCATCAACGAACTTTGTTCTGGATCTTTCTCTTTGACCAATGGGTGTACCAAGGAGTTTTTTTCTGGCTGAGGGATTTTGTTTTATGTGCATTGTGTACCATAGTTAATCAGGATAACCAGATAGTGCTGGGTGAAATGGAGAAAAATTGATATATGGGAAAATTATATCCAGGAGCTCTTCCATGACGAAAGACCCATGAGTGAAGTTTATACAGACGACCAGCTGACTGGCCCTTCAATCACCAAAGAGGAGATAGAAAAAGCAATATTAAATTCAAAAAACAATAAGGCACCTGGACCAGATGAGATCCCGTCAGAAATACTCAAATTACTAGATGAAAGGGGAATTTCAGCACTACACAAAATATTTAATTTAATTTATGAAACTGGCTGCTATCCTCAACAGTGGTTACGCTCTACCTTTATTCCCCTGCCCAAGAAAGTCAATGCAAAAAGATGTGAGGATCACAGACTCATTAGCCTGATGAGTCACACTTTAAAGATATTCTTAAAAATACTACATCAAAGATTATACAAAAAATGTGAATGGGACATCAGTGATTCACAGTTCGGGTTTAGGCAAGGTTTAGGAACACGAGAAGCAATAGTAGCAACACAGGTACTGGTCCAAAATTGTTACGATCAGAGGAAGGATGTGTTCCTATGCTTTTTAGATTACAAAAAAGCGTTTGATCGTGTCCAACACCACAAGTTAATGCAGATTCTCAAGAAAGTTGATATAGACCAAAAAGACATAAGATGCATTGAAAACTTGTACTGGCATCAAACGGCACAGCTAAAAATAGACAATTCTATATCTAAGCCCATACATATAAGAAGAGGCGTTCGACAGGGATGTGTGCTTTCCCCTCTTTTATTTAACATTTATTCAGAAGCCATATTTCAAGAGTCTTTGGAGGATGCAGAGATGGGAATCAAGGTGAATGGAGTATTGATCAACAACATAAGATATGCTGATGATGGTGTCTTAATTTGTGACAACATAGTCGATCTTCAACAACTTGTCACTATAATCGGAGAATACAGTGAGCGAATGGGACTAGAGATTAATACCAAAAAGACCAAATTCATGATCATCTCCAGAAACTTGGATGCATTTGAAAACTCCACCATAACACTGAATAGTAAATCCATAGAAAGAGTGAGTAAATTTAAATACCTGGGATCGTGGCTTTTTGAAGACTGGGCATCGGACAGGGAAGTAAAATGTCGCATTGAGCAAGCTCGACAAGCTTTCGTAAAATTCAAGAAGGTACTGACTTGTTCTGAGTTCGATCTTCAACTGAGACTAAGGTTTACTAAGTGCTACGTATGGTCAGTGCTGCTATATGGCGTAGAGGGCTGGACACTCAAAACGAGGGATATAAACAGATTGGAAGCTTTCGAAATGTGGCTTTATCGCCGTATCCTAAAAATACCATGGACAGCGAAAATCACAAATATAGATGTCCTTAAAAGAATAAACCAAGAACGCCAACTTTTCGAAACCATCAAGAAAAGGAAAACGGCGTATCTAGGTCACATCATGCGAAATGAAAAATACCAGTTCCTCCAACTTATAATCGAGGGTAAAATTGAAGGCAAGAGAGGAATGGGACGCAAGAAAATGTCCTGGCTCCGAAACATAAGGCAATGGACAGGGATTAACGACATACAATCTCTGATACATATTGCAAGAAATAGAGAGTTAATGGAAAATGTGATCGCTAACATCCATTAGTGGATTTGCATCTGAAGAAGAAGAAGAAGAAGAATAGAGTCCAGATCTCTGCAGCATATGATAGGACTGGGCGTATTATTGTTTTGTAGAGTTTTACACTTATATTTCTCGATATAATTGAGAATTTAAGAAGGAAATTGAGACGAAAATAGCACCTGTTGGCCATGCAATTTCTGCGGTTTATCTCTAAAGAGAGAAAAAGTACTTTCGTCACTAAAACAAATTGTTTTTTTGTAATCGGGCTGATGATTAATTTTATTGGACATATTTTCACAGAATTTTAGTCTTCGGTCGGAGTCAGCATCTGAAAGTTGTTGCACAATTTTTAATTTGTATGAATGAAATTTGTTTTCAGCCAACACTCGGTGTACTGTCTTTTGACTGATTCCATAGATAGATGCAATATGGGCTGTGGAAGAAGTAGGTTCACTACCATTTCTGAAATTATGTCAATTTTTTTGTCATCACTAATTGTTGGTCGACCAAATCGTTTGACATCTTGAACACTACCTGTTTGTTTAAACTTCCGAAGAAGCTTACTCAAATAAGCTCTCGAGTCTCGATGTAGTGCGATCGGGGTACCTCTCATTAAAAAGACGTTCCGCTGCATGGAAATTATTTCCACATTCATCAATCACTAACATAGCTGCTGCTTTGTCGGCTACAGTACGTACCATTCTGCCTTTGTAAAAATTTAAACGTCTTGTTAAACAATAATTTTTAAACTAAATATTAATTAAGAACAACTAACTAAAAACAACTTGACCAAACTTGAATTGACTAAACTGAACCGAAACTAAATATTCAGGTATAAATGCGTTTGCAAACTAAAAATAACTAGAGAATTTACTAAACTAAGCAGAAACAGAAATCAAATATTGAGCTATAAACGCTTTTGTAAACTAAAACAACTAGAGAATTGACAAACGTCAACTTTTTTGACAAATAACCAAAGGCGGACGTTAGAATTTTTATTAATCAAATGCCAAATTAGAATTTTAGTATTTATTTAATTTATTCGTCAAAATTATCTTAAATCCAAACAAAGTTAGTATGATTTAATAGGTATATTAAAATAATTGTAGTTTCGCATTTAATTAATAAATATTCTAACGTTCGTCTCTGGTTAATTGTCAAAAAAGTTGACATTGACGTAAAAACAATTAGAGAATTAAAAACGTCAACGTTTTGACAAGTAACCAGAGGCGCAGGTTTTAATATTTATTAATAAAATGGGAAACTACAATTTTAGTATTTATTTAATTTATTCATCAAAATGAGCTTAAACTCAAATAAAATTAGCATGGTTGATCACTTGCTATAAGGTCCTGTTTAAACTTATCTGTCACAGTGGCACTGTAACGTTATCTGTCACTATTATGTCACTTCTAAATCTAAGATTTAGAATCTTTAGATTCCCCATGTCTCTAATAACATCTTTATCAACGTCTGCTTTGCCTTGCAATTCTTAGAAGGCACAGATTAAAGCACAAATCTGAATTGTTTCGAAAAATTAGTTTACAGATTTATTATCAGATGTCGCTATTTGCGTCCATACGAAGCCATGTTAGAGTTGCTTCTACTAAGACAGTAAAGATTTATGTTCACGTTCAAAGCGACTGTGAATAGCCGCTCTGAGGAGCCCTTTTAGGGCGAAATACGTATAAGCGGATACACAGACGCACTATACGTGAAATCAAATCTTAACTGTCTTTTCCTTTTAGTTTTTAGTACTTTGGATATTTTTCTGTCATACAACACCTCATAGGTTTGTGTACTTTATCCACTAGGTATGCAATTTAAAAAATATGGATTTGCCAAATAAATTAAAAATAACCTTTTAATTAATAAATCCAATCGGTAAATTAAAATATTCCTCAACCACAATTCGATGTTCAAATTGAACTGAAGTCTCATTGATTTCAGAGGGTCTCAAAATTACCAAACTGCGGTGCTAAGCCCCAGACGACTATCCGTTCACCTCTTAAAAATTAAAGAAGGCCAAACAGAACACGGTAAGTAGTCCACATATATTATTAAATTATTTATTTAGATTCAACCAATTTTCTGTAGACTACCACGAATACGTTTAATGAGATTAAAATAGTAATAGTAGTTTTTACAGTCCCCATCTAATTCAGTTGATGCAAAACCAAATATATAAATTTATCTATCCATTTTTATTAATAACCTTAAATTTTACTTTTTATATTTTAGGAACGCAAAATACATTCGAAACATTATACGAACATCATCTATCAAGATCTGCTGCCAACTTTACAATAGGCCCTTTTGGAGGTTCTCAGAACAGAGATTTTATTTGCGTTCAATCACTAGATGGCGTGTTAAGTTTTTTTGAGCAAGAAAACCAAACATTCTGTTGTTTTCTGCCAGATTTTTTGCTACCCAGTCCAATGGTATACGTGAAAAAGACTGACACTTTTCTAACTTTAGATGGTAGTTGGAATATCGTTTGTTACAGGTATGTTTCTATACAGGGTGAGTTTTTAGTGCGACATCAGTCCATAATGCCATTGTGGTACCACTCTCTATATTTTTTCATATTTATATTTCTCTTATAATCCTTGTTCTTATAATATTGGGGTTTGTATTACTATACAGAGTATTTAACAAGTTGTGACCATTTTTATTTCGAAATTCCTATGAAATCAACACGATTTACACAAAGAGGTACCTAATTCATAAACAATTATTTATTTTATATAATATGGTAAACAATATATTTTAGTTTATAAATTAAGTTTAATTAAAATAATTAACTAAAATTTATATACAGGGCTTGTTGTGTACAAAAGTGTTGTGGCTACAGAAAATGTAGGTTTAAATATAAATATCTCGAAAACAAAAATCATGACCAATTTGGTACCCAACCAGAACATCAGTATTAGTGGGAAAAAAATAGAACTCGTAGATAGATATAAATACCTGGGACATGAAATTATGATTGGCTGGGATAACCAGACTCATGAACTGAAGAGAAGAATCGACCTTGGGTGGGCAGCATTTGGAAAACTGAGAGAGAAACTTTTAAAAGTGAGCTGCCCACATGCCTAAAGAGAAAGGTATTTGATCAGTGTGTCTTCCCAGTCTTGACGTACGGAGCAGAAACACTTACCTTAACTGTTGTATTAGTAATAAACGTAGGCTTTTTAAATTTTTATTAACTCTTTTATTTAAGAACCATTACAATATCGGCATGGCACGAAGTGTCCGCCTTCATTTATATGTCAATTCCAACATCAAACATAAAACTAATATGACATCTAACATAAAACATAAAACTAATAGAATAGTACTTAAAACTAAATATATGACATCTTCCTCTTTTTAATTTTTTTTTTTTTTTTTAGTATACATAATCCTTAAATTTAATTGGTTGCTTAATCACCCTTCCCCTATTACTCATGCGTGGAGCCAAATCAATTACTTGTTGATCATCATGTTTAGAGTCATTTATTATTTGATTAGGTTCGTTATATGTCTGCCTATGTCTTTCAGTGTCATTGTTATTCACAATATCATCTCCAGCATATCTTCGTTGACATTCATGTCTTGAGTGTTTTAAATGTACACTGTTTCTTCGTACCATATTTCCATTTTCTTTTTCTACTATGTAAGATCTAGGGGAGTTTTCAACCTTTGATATAATCCTGGCTGGTGACCAGGTTGATCCCTCTCGCATTACTACATTTTCATTATTCTGAAATTCATTTCTTCTCAATGTTGTTCGATCATAATACTGCTTATATAATTTTCTTTTTTCTTCTAACTTACTTCTTTCATTATCATAGTCAATGTTCTCTGGTTCCAGCAGTTTTTCTTTGATTGGAAGCTTTGTTCTTAATCTTCTGCTTTGTAACAGCTGAGAAGGAGATTTATCCGTTCCTGATACTGGTGTATCATCTGAGATCTCAAATCTCAGATATGCAGATGATACAACATTAATAACTGCATCCGAAGAAGAAATGTCCAGCCTGCTGCAGCTAGTGGAAGTCGAAAGCAATAGATGTGGTCTCAAGATCAATAAACAAAAAAACAAAAATTATGATAGTAGACTATTCAAATTCACTTCAGACAACAGGAGCCTTGGACCAGTTTGAAGTGGTTAACGAGTTCAATTATCTAGGATCCTACATCAATAATACAGGATCTTGTGAAACAGAAATACGTAGGAGAATAGGCATGGCTAAAAACGCTATGAGTCGATTATCAAAAATCTGGAAAGATCGCGCCTTGTCGAAGAACACCAAAATAAGATTAGTACGTGCATTAATTTTTCCCATATTTAGTTACGGATCCGAAACATGGACAATCAAATCGGACGACAGAAAAAGGATTGACGCTTTTGAAATGTGGTGCTGGAGAAGAATGCTTCGGATCTCATGGACGGAACACAGAACAAATCACTCAATCCTCCAAGAGCTTAATATTCAGACTCGACTTTCGTCTATTTGCCTCTCCACCGTCTTAAAATTTTTCGGCCATATTGCAAGAAGAAGTGATGATAATCTTGAGAGACTTATAATTTCGGGAAACGTTGAAGGGCGCAGAAGTAGAGGTCGCTCACCTATTCGATGGACGGATCAGGTACAGAAAGCCAGTGGAAAAACATTTTCAGAATCCATGAGGGAAGCTCAGGACAGAAGCCGATGGAAAGAGATAGTGGCTCGTATTATAGGGAATCACGACACTCAGCAATGAGGAAACGACTGAGGAGGATACTGGTTGTGTTTCTGTATTCTAATAGTGCTATGTTGAAATCTTCACATTTTCTTAACATATTTTTAGATGTTTGCACTGCCCTTTCTGCCAGCCCGTTTGACCGCGGGTAATGTGGACTAGAGGTGCAAAATTTAAAATTCCAGTCTTTTGCAAAATTCTTATACATTAGTGAATCATAAGGCATATTATCTGAAACTACCTCCATTGGGATTCCGAACCTTGAGAATATTAATTTTAAACATTTTACTACTGTTTCCGCAGTTTTGTCCTTTACTGGAATTACTTCCAACCATTTTGAAAAATAGTCTATCAAAACAAAGTAAGACTTCCCACCATAGTCAAAAAAATCGCTAGCTACTTTTTGAAAAGGCAGCTCAGGAAAATCTCTTAAAATTAATGGTTCCTTGACATTATTGTTGCTAAATTGTTCACAAGTCTTACATTCCTTAATAAAATTTTCAATATCAGCATTTATTTGAGGCCAATATAAAATATGCTTTGCACGATTTTGAGTTTTAGTAACACCAAAATGATTCTCATGCAACAGTGAGAGCATCCCTCTGCGTAATGCATTAGGTACAATGACTCTGTCATTATAAAACAGCAAATCATTGCATAGATGTATGTCATGTCTTATTGAATAATATCTTTTAAGTGCTTCCGGAACTTTACTATTATCTGTAGGCCATCCCCTTAAGCAATAGTTTGTTAATCTTTGTAACCCAATATCCTTTAATGTCTACAAAGCACGTGGTGTTCGTGTGCATTAAGGTATAAAAACGCTTATTAAAAGCTTAAAATTTTTTATTATAAAGAAGATCTTTTCGGAATATGTATCATTCCATCATCAGTTTACTAAAAGAGAGAGTAAAAATACCAATATTAAAAACAACAAAGTTAAAATTTGAACATACAAAAAGAGAAAGTTGGTTTTTTACTACTTACATAAAAAAGGTCGTTAAAAAACATTGTGTGGCCACATAAAAAACATTCGGTTGACATCTGGATTTAAAAAATAATATTCTTCGTGTTATTTATTCAGGTAAATGCAATAGACTCTTGACTTGTGTAATGTAAAAAATGAAACTGGGGGCATCTTATATGACCCCCTGTAGTTGGTGAAGTTTTATTGACTTACATTACCTCTGATCTGTGTTGGAGTCTAGGGCTAACTGATAGAAAGATGGTATGAAAAATCAGTTAGTACCCGTCAATGTCAAGAGGAATGATGTGGTAGGAGCAAAGTCATTGTGCTTAAGTTTGTGAGTAGGCAGTTTTTAGTGAAGAAATGTGTTTTGTGTGTAGTAGGATCATAAGCAATTTTTGGTATTTTAAAAAACTGATGGGAGAATATAAATCAATGCGTGACTGTGATGCAAAATAAATCGGTATATACCAAGGTAGGTAAAATTTTATGTAATTTAAGTGATTAAAATTAATAAATCATTTTAAATGGGAGGAAAAGGATGTTATTACCTAATTGTATCGTTGTATTAAATAAGTATATATTAAAAGATGGATTGTAATTTATGGAAGATGAGTCGAGGAAAAGAAAAAGAAGTAAACGAGAAGGTAGGAAAGGGAATAGAAAGTGAATGTGACGATGTAAGATGGAGAAATTGAAACTGATTGTGATAGGAGTAGATAGATGTAAAATTAATATTTATAAGAAAATGTGTATGATTGTATGTGTATGATTAAATGAATATATATAAAAGTAGGATTGTAATTTATGGAAGATGAGTAGAGGAAAGAACAAGAAAAAGGAAATTAACGAGAAAGCAAGAAAAGGAAATAGAAGGTGAATATGGTGATTTAAACTGGTGATATTAAAACTGATTGTGATAAGAGAAAAAAAGATATAAAATGAATAATTATAAAAAATGTGTATGATGAGTGATGGTAGTTATTGGAGAGGATGGGTAGTTGGATATTGGCAAAGGGGTGATGTTAGTGTATTAATGGTGACAAGTATAGAGTTAAGTATGAATGATTATGTAAGTTGAAATTTAGCTATGGGAAATAAAAAAGAAAAAAGAAATGTAGAAGTGAAGTAAAATTGGATGGGTAGTTAAAAGAGAGAAAGTTAGTTTAGGAGAATAATTGTCGATGAAGTGGGACGAAGTCTCTGTTGATGCTGGTGTGACGATTAACACAATTGGGACTATTTTTCTTTTCCTTGACTATTTCCAAATCCTCAAAAAGGTCGAGTTTGAGATAATCTCTACCAGGGATGTTATGAAGAAGAGAGATATCATCTGGTACCTTGATTGTGTGGTTGTGATATTTAAGGTGATGTGAAAAAGAAGAAGTGTTCTCTACCTTAGAATGTTCAATGGCCCTGGTTACTAGAGATCTACAAGTTCTACCGATGTAAGTGGCATCACAGTCAGAACACTGAAGTTTATAAACTCCACTGCGTTTAGTGAAGTGAATAGGGTCCTTACTATTGCATAATGATCTACTCAGTTTATTGTTGACTTTAAAGGAAATCTTAATATTTTCAACAGAATTCAGGATAGTGTTTTTTATTGATTCAGAGAGTGTTGGACAGTGAAATGGTAATGAGAAATAAGATGGGGAATCTAAAGTAATGTTAGGGTAAGCTGATTGTTGAAGCAATTTACGTTTCTTTTTATAAATGAGTTTGTGGATTATATCAGGGTTGTAGCCATTGTTGAAAGCAATCTGTTTGATAATGTTTAGTTCTTGGTTGTAGTTATTTTTGGATAATGGGGT